TCCGAGGGGCCCGGGCCCCCCTGCTGCTCCCGCCGTTGCTGTGGTAACGGTGGTGTCCAGAGCCCTGGCCCCTTTAAATCGCCGCTGGAGTGCCAGGCTGCACGCTCCGGGCAGCGCTGAGGGCTGGCTGGGCTGGCACGCTCCAGCCAGTGCTGAGCGCTGGGTGCTTTTGGCCTACAGCTTCTGCCTGAGGCTCTGCCACTTCCAGGAATGTGAATCGAATCCCCCTCATACCTTGTCCCGGGGCCTGGTGTGTCTGTTGGCGAGCGTCTCCCTTGGGTTCTGATCCCCCTTCCACGCCGGGCCTGCTCCCCAGGTCCGAGGGCGAGGCCCCAGCGCAGCAGGGTGTGTACCCGCAGCAGCTGGGCCTAGCCTGGGATCTAGGCCAGAAGAGACCACCGTGATCATGGGGTCTGCCCCCGGCCTAGCACAGCCCAGAGACCGCCCTGAGCCACGGCCCCCAGTCCCAGCTCGGGGTCAGAGCCCTCTGTCCTGGCTCGCCCACAGATTCATTTGCCAGGGCCCCCGTGTGTCTGCGCCGCCACCAGGCCCAGCGCTGCAGGGCAGCGAGAATCAGGCCCATTGGGTTATTCCCCCCGCTCACTGCCAAAGGCCCCCCTGTGTCCTCTCAGCCAATGGGGTGTTGGGGGGCAAGCAGGCAACAGGCCGCGTTCGCCGGGGGCCAGATTCTGCCCTGCGTGGGCCTATTACTCTGGGCCACAGGAGTGTGACATGCAGCCATGGGACTCGGCCAAGAGTGCGGGGGTGTCAACGGGGCACAAGGTGCAGGCCCAGGAAGCGTGGGTGTCTCTGAGCTCCCCCAGGCCCGGCAGGACTGAGAACGCAAAGCAAACACCCGGGATTATGCTGAGCGGCACTGGCGCTGCAGGGCTGGCACCGGCCCACGGCACAGGAGGGGCCAGGGGCTGGGGGTTGGAGGTATCCAGAGGGCAGCAAACGGCCCAGCCAGGAGGGTCCCAGCAAGCCAGGGAAGCTGTGGCAGTGGGCAGCAGGGAGGGGCTGGGGCACTGGCAGAGCTGGGTGAGGGCCAGGCCTGGTCCGGGGTAGGCACCTGGCAGAGCTGGAAGGGAAGAGCCCAGGGTGGTGGGCGGGGCTCTTCATGCCAGTTTCACAGCAGTGCAACTTGCGCCAATCCAGTGCAGTTACTCGCATGTCCCCTGGGGCAGGGAGCTGGTGCGGGGGTGGGACTGTGTGTGTCTGGGGGGGTCTGTGTGCCTGCATATGTGTGGCTGTGAGTGGGTCTATATATATAGGGGGAGGTCAGTGTGCATGCGTGTGTGGATCTGTAGGTGTGGGTGGGTGTGTGTGCACACTGTGTGTGGGTGTATATATATGTGAGGGGCGTCAGTGTGTGTGTGGCTCTGTGTGAGTGTGCGCGCGCATATGTGGCTCTGTGTGTGTGTGTGTGTGCGCGTGCATAAATCTGTATGTGTGTGTGGGTCTGTGGGGGGGGTCTATGTGGGGGCCAGTGTGTGTGTGTGCGCATGTGGATCTGTGTGTGTGTGTGCATGTGCATGCAGGGCTGTGTGCGCATGTGGGTCTCTGTGTGTATGCATGGATCTGTGGAGTTTTCAAGTGCCCATGCACTGACCACCACGTGTGCTCCGCCAGGTGGCGCTGTGGTGCACCGGTGTGAAATGGCAGGTGCCCCCTGTGTGGGGCTGGGGCTGCCTGCCACCTGGCCGGGCAAGGGTCGATTACATAACCATGGGGCGCTCGAGCTGCCGGGTGTGCCCGCAGGCGACCTCAGGCCACGAGCCGTGTCCCACCAGGGTCCTTTACTGAGCAAGCAAATCCGCCAGCTGATGTTCGCCAAGCTGTCTAGGGGAGTTAGGTGCTGCGCTAATTAAAGAGGTGCATGCTGGGTGACTCAGCCCGCAGCTGTGTGCCTTTACTTTGCGTTGCCGTGTCCAGCGAGACGGGCAGACTGTGTTCGCCAAGCTGTCTAGGGGAGTTAGGTGCTGCGCTAATTAAAGAGGTGCATGCTGGGTGACTCAGCCCGCAGCTGTGTGCCTTTACTTTGCGTTGCCGTGTCCAGCGAGACGGGCAGACTGT